GATTTCTCAATAACTATTCGAGTGATTTCGTTTAAATTTCCATTTTGTCATGTAAAATTACACTTTTAAAAATGGTATAAAAGCTTTTATACCTTACAATTAAAAATATTTTTGACTATCTATATTATATAAAACGCTAATACGTACGTACGTATGTATGTATCAATAAAACCGATGATATTTCTTTTCTCACTCTGGCAACAATTTTCATTTTTAATTGATTGGATTCGGCGCGCAAGAGCACGTAGTGAGCAACCAGATAACAATAACCAGAGTGAGCATTATCAGGTTGTTCAATTCAGATTCATGCACTAAAAACATGACAATATTTAATTTAAACTCAATTAGGAATTAATTAATTAATTGAAGTGAGAATGCTTTAAAAGGCCGCTGTTGAATTGATATTTTTCTACTGGGAGCTACCTAAACGTCTAAAAAACGTTTAAGTGTTTGTATTGAATGCATTGAATTTTTTTATATTTCGCGTTTATTTATGCATTGAATTTTCACGCTTTAAAATGCAGAATATTAGTGAAGCAATATTTGATAATTTATTTTGCTAATATGTTTCTTATTTAGCTAATGTTTTGATTTTTTCACCATGTACAATCTAAATAGCTAATATACTTTTTTAAAAGCCAATAAGAACATTGGTAGAATTCTTCTACATAAGTACAATACTATGTCTTTGATGATAAAATACTATGTCTTTGATGATAATATATTATGTCTTTGTGCTAGAACATTGTGTTCATTGGCGAGCCAGCGCAGCGAGCCATGGTTCACGGCGCGAACCACATAGGATTGCGTAGCAATTCTCGGGGGTTGGCGAGCGTTAGCGAGCAGGGGGCGGAGCCTCCTAGTTATTAAATAAAATAATAAAAACTTGCCACTACTTACCAAAAGTTTTTTTTTCAATGGAATTATCATTAGATAAACAAATTTAATAGTTGTGTACAAAAACTTTTAACTCATTTAAAAAGTTTTCGAGATATGGCAAAATGCGCAAAAAATAAAAGTAACATTAAGGGGTTCAAACTGTGGACCGCTCTTCTGACTAAACTATGGGGACCATATTTTCCAGATTACGGCTACCCCCCTTTATTTTTGAAGTCAAAAATCTGAATCCATCGAAAAAAAGGTACATTTATTCCGAGAAAGTGCGTTTTTGTGACTGATTTCGTTTTTTTTTAATTATTGTCTGCATTAATTATTTAGCATATTTGAGATCACCCTCTCAAACATTTAAGATTGAGACCTAGAGCGTGATCATTAGATCAAAAGTTATTTAGAGTGGTTCATTTTTTATTTTGAGCACTGTACATAAATCGTACAGTGCTCAAGAGCAGAGAAAGTGCTCAAAAGTGTAACCTCGCTAAAAGAGCGAGGAGGTTGTTTCTAGCCAATGGCATAATTAATCTATCGATTCCATTAAATAATGGCGGAAATTTTGAAATTGAAAGAAAGAGATGAAGGAAATAAAAAGATATTAAAGTATTTGAGTAACCCAAGCCACGTTTTATGTAAATTGTACATTAATAGAGATATTACGCAGTTTTAAGTTTATGAATTTTACGTAACTGCATAAGTGCATTTGAAGCGGTGAAGTAAGCTTCAAATGTGCACTCACTTAGTACAAGAAACGCACCATTAACGTTACAAAAAAAGCAAAAAAATAGCTTAAAAGTTAAGTTCGCAGTTACTCGAAACTTACAGACGGAAATTTACGGGATCATATACGCAAAACTGAGAAAGCTATTTATTGAATAAATTGGCACTAATATTTATACTAATAAAAAAATAGTGAGAAGTAGTTCTTAATTTTAATGATGCTTTTAAATTACAGTAACATTAATTTAAAATCGTTTATTAAATACTAACTAGTGGGCTGCGCCCCCTGCTCGCTAACGCTCGCCAACCCCCGAAAATTGCTACGCAATCTTATATGGTTTGCTTCGCTCGCTATTAACTTAGGTGCATTCAAATGCACAAAATTCTAAGAATTCAAAACAATCATTCAAATCCATATAAAGAATGCTTTTGAANGAAAATTGCTACGCAATCTTATATGGTTTGCTTCGCAAACCAAGCTCGCTTCTCTCGCTACTAACTTAAGTGCATTGGAAATGCACAAAATTCTAAGAATTCAAATCAATCATTCAAATCCATATAACAACTTTTCTTTAAAAAAAAATTATCTCTTGTTAGTAAATACTAAGTCATTGAAATAAATTTGAATTCAAATAAAGACTCATTGACTGAGACTCGTGAAAAAAAGCGCTTTCAACAAAATACTAAAATGGAGATCTATCGACAAAAACTACTCACTTCTGCCTAGCTTAATAGTATGAGATTGCCGCAGCTGAATTGTTATTTCAGTTTCCGTTTTTAAAAGCGCTATATGTCGAGCCATCTCAGCTAGATTTGGCATGAGACATTTTTAGCGGCAATCATTGGTCGATTTTCTAGCGTTGCCATTCGGTGAGTTGTAATGAGGCTTTTTTTTGTCGCCGTGTAAGAGAAATATATATATAGATTATGCGTTATATAAACTATTTTTATTTATCTAATTCCAATAACAACTAAAACGAGCACGAAAGCTTAGAAAAACACTAACAAAAGAAAATTTTTATTCATCAAATTTTTTAAAAAGAGTTTTGAAGTTAAACCATAACGGTGAACATTAATTACGAATAACATCATGCGGAAGTTGACACTTACAACAGACTGATATTGAGCATCAGCACGGATTTGTATAAATTTGTATCCATGAAAAAGAATCAACTTTGGCATCTTGGCAAACTTGGCAGACTTACAAAATAAAAGAGCAGAACATTTTGTCAATTATAGCTGAGTGTTTTGGAGAGAACAAAGTATCTATGTGTAAGTCATCGAGCACTTGCTGACGAGCACTTGCTTGACGTTTTAATGATCTCCGGAGTTTGACGAACTTAGCGAGCAAAGGAAGAGTGATTAAAAAAAATCTAAAATAACGCGCTTTGAGATACAATTTTTTTTATTGCATTTTCTTCCGTTTTCACAATATGCAAGATTTAACATATTAGTCAAGATCTGTGTGTTTGCATCATTTACATATTTATAATTCTAATAAACTAATATGAAGTCTCAAAAAAAAAAAACAATTGTTTTATTACATAAGTCAAGTATCAACAAAATTAAAAATACCTTTCTTAAATTTTTTAGGGGTGGTCTGTCGCTGGTCTTGTTATCTCAATTTTGAACGTTTTTCAATTATTCGAAGTTCCAGATGACCCATTGACAAAATGCATTTTACAAGGTATTTAAGTTGTTTTTATAATTGTTAATGTTTCATGTGAATTTATTCATTTACTATTAATAGATGACAAAGTAAAAGTAGCTGTAAACTGCGAATCATTCATAATTTTTCTATATGAGTCTATAACGATTTGGCTCTGTAAATTTCATAACTGTGTGTCATTTGTTTCGTTTAAAAGTTATACTAAAATGCAGACAAACGTATTCTAAAATACTTAGTATAAAACTATAACATGTTAATGCTAAAAATTTGAATCAAGCCTGCAGTGTGACTAATTAGTAAAATATATCTCGACAATAAATTTCAAATATGACAAAACATCAATAGTTATTGAGTATAGTATTCTGGGAAAAGATAACAAGTAACGATTCTATACATACTTAGTGCATGTAACTTAGATTTCTATGACTAGAAGTTGTTAGAATATCAATTTAAATTATCGATAAAGTTTATTAATTCGAATGCAAGTAGCCAAGGCTATATTTTATATCAGCTGATATATTATACAGCGGACCACATTCCTTATCGAGTGGCGACTTTATTGTTACCATACACTTAATACTATGCCATTTTTTTATAGCAGTCGTAGAACAGCCGATCCAATTTTTTGAGTTTATGACTACTAATGTTCAACTCCGTAGCCTTAAAATCTTCAACCCAATCCATAAGACAAGGGAACTCCTGGATCAAGTATTGGGAGATATTTTGCCTTTGTAGAGGACTTTTTGGTGGAACTAGCCCACATTTGCAATACATGTTGAGAAAAATCACGAAAAACCCCCATGGTTAGCCTAACGGCAAGAGGACTGTAACCGATGATCTGTCTTCCACTGATGATATTTTAGGTCAGCACTGTGGTCAGTGCGAGCCGGATGCGGAATTCGTATTCATCAGCCATCGCTGGGATTCAAACCTGGTTCAATAATTGGACGGCGAACGTTGTATCCCCTGAGCCAACACGGCTCATACGTTGCCATTTTATTTTATTTTATTTTATTTTATTTTATTTTATTTTATTTTATTTTATTTTATTTTATTTTATACCCATCTTTGAACATCCAACCCAATTTTTAAGGATTACGATTACTAATGTTTAACTTCATAGCCTTGTAATTTTGAACCCAATCCAGAAGGCAAAGGAACTCCTGGATCAAGTTTTAGTTTAGTTGTTTTGGTCCTTCTAAAGGAAAATGTCAGCATTTATAATTTTGATGCATTTTGAAAAGAAAAGATGAATAGAAGTAGCTTTTAATGAAAATCAATCAAGGAATAATCATATAAAAATGCTTAATTTTGACAAAAATTTATTTTCAGCATTAATTTTTTAAATAATAATTCAAAAAATATAAAAAAACATTATGTTTGGCAAAGAGTTTTTGAGGCTGTTTCAAGTTTTTTAGGCTTGCAGATTGTAAGGGCTGTTTTTAATCTAACTCACTCAAAGCGAATTAAAATATAAGCACGAAACATCCGAACTAATAGGTTTGAAAAACGCTTCATTCATAAATTCGAAATATACCGTTAGTTTATTCTTAAACACAAATGAAACGCTTTACTCGTTAAATACATAGATCTTTAGCATCTCAGCAACATAAATGAAATGTCTCACTTCTGAGTAATTTCTGAAACTTGAATAAAACGTCTCTTAAGTTATAAGTGTCATAAGCATTTCTGTAGCATAATTCAAAATGTCATTCTACAGTTATGTTTTATCTTGGAACCTACGGCATTGCATTTCAGTCTATTTTACTCCTCGCAACTCTTCTCCTGTTTTGGGGTGCTATTAAGGTAAGATTTTAAATAATTTAGTTATTCATTCATAAAAGCATCTAAAAACCATAAGTAACAAAGAACTTTAATTCATTATCAAAAATACATTTTTAATTTATTCTTAACAATAATTAATAATTCATTAATATATATATATATATATATATATATATAAACGCACACAAAAAATTCNATATGTAAGTATGTATTATCCATTGACAACACTATTAAGGTAAAGTTGAATAGTTAGTATGGTTTGTATTTAGAATAATTTTATATATTTTCAAAGAAACAAAAACACTTAGTTACGAAGTAATGACTTAGATTTATTTCTTATCTTTTCTAAAATGGCTATTGAAATTTTGAACATAAACGTTGCTATGGTGCTGCATACTGTCATTGCAATTATTAGTGACGTAACTTGCCTTTTTGGTTGTTGAAAAATTCCGAACTGATTTTAAATTATTATTAAAATTAAATATATAAAGAACGTTGACAGCGTTGTGGCTTGAAGATAGTTAAAATTAAATCAAAATACTAAGTAAATATATCAAAACAGTTGGAAATAGGTGGTGAAGAAATTTAGTTAATATATTGCTTAAAACTAATTTAGGTGTTAGGATTGGATAAGGGGTTGAAGAATTAGAATATTTATTGTTGTAGGTGAATTTGCATTTTATTTGCATTTGTGCATTCATAGCCTAATGCACAATTGTGCTGCGAATTCAGTTTGATCAACATTAAAATTAATAAGGTTTACAAAATGATTTTTAAAGGTGACAAAGCTGGTCGCCCATGACGGCTAGTATCAATGATTTATGCTTATATTTGAAGAGCTGAGTAGATAGGTTATATTTTAGTGAATTTGAGTAACTTTTTAATAATTTATAATTCATTAATAAAAAATAATTCACTAAATAATTCATTATATTTACAAATAAATAACTAGGTGAATAAGGATTTTAAGGGTTATTATAGTGATTTTTAGAAAATTGACATTTGAGAGAATTCATATTCTGCGAATCTACACTTCTACATTTTTGTAGAAATATCGATTCGCATTTTCTGCCATTATTTAAATCTCGGATTAACATAAATATTTACCCGTGAAATTTCAATTTCTTCAAGAATGTTCATTAACTTACATTAATAAAAGTAAATTAATAGTATATTTGTTCTAGGCTGTTCCACCACTTTTGCTCCCCTGGCTCTGCTTTTCACCATTTATTATAGTAGCGATCACTATAAATGTGGCGATGACTCTAGAACACCATGTAAGTCTTATTTTTTTCTATATCAACATTTGAGCAGTGGAGGCTCAGGGGATAACGCTCTCGCCTCTCAATGTGGTGACCCGGATTCGAATCCCAGCGATGGCTGGTTGATACGAATTCCGCGCCCGGCTCGCACCGACCATGGAGCTTATATAAAATATCCTCAGTGGTTGATGGATCATGGGTCAGAGTCAACTTTCTGCCAGGCTAACCATAGGAGGTTTTCGTGGTTTTCCTTTCCATGCAACGCAATGCAGGTTAGTTCCATCAAAAAGTCCTCCACTATGGCTAGTTTGTCCCGATGCTTGATTCAGTGGTTGTCGTAAACTCAAAATTGGGTCTGCTGTTCAACGATGGTCATAAAATATACCATAACTTAATTTAAAATTTCACAAATAAAACGTGAAGAGCTTTTATTTATTTATCTTACTCTCTAAAAATGAAGTTTGAAAATTCAAAACTTAAGGAGTTACATGTTACTTTACATAAATACACTTTAAAAAAAATTTTAGTGTATCCCAACACTAGTACCCAAACACAACTACTAGTTTTCACCAAAAAGTTCACGAAGAATCAAGGGTAGTTCCCGATGCAGTGAAACTCCAAGAAGGCACTTCTACAATACTTGGAATAAAATATCCGTCACAATTTTTGTTTTTCAGTAACACTACAATTTGTAATTACAGTAAGATAAGGCACACATAAGAGCCAGTAAAGTCATTTTTACGATACAACACAAAGATTCACCAACTTAGGATGCATATATGCGATATTTTTTTAAATAAAATTATTTTATTGATCAAACATACACACAGCACTGAAGAAACATTAATATGAATTCGATTTAGGCTTAAGAAAACTAAAGTGAATGGAAGTTAAATATCGTTAAATTTAATAAAACTGACTGGCTTAGGTATATCTTATGAGAACATAAATATCTTTATTCCACAACTAAAAAAATTCATGCTTTTTATAACAGTTTACAAGAGTGGTTTATCAAATCAATCCGACTAGAAAATAGAAATTAACTGGCAAATAATCATAATAAACATTATTGATCAATCAGTTATGAGGGATGAAACTTTCTTGTTATTAAATAGACTATGATCAGTTTGTCAACTTACTCTGACAAGAACATTGAACTTGCTTGAACAATAATCGTCTATTCCCTTGGAGCTAGCTTTCCGGTAGGTACTGAGGTTGACAGCTAAACCTAATTAGGCTTCAATGTCCGCCATCATTGATCGAAAATTGGAAGAGTTCATATCTTCAACTATAATGTTGATAGTTTAGTACACTGACTTATTATGCGTCACTGAAGCAATCGATTATATCACTTCTAACAAAAAACAAAAACACATTTTACCTTCAGTTTTCAAAATTTACAAAACATTCAAAAACGACAACACTTCTTCCGGGCTGTTGTCAACCATGAATGGAGTTGAAACATTTAAGTTTTGCGTAAGCTTTATCAAATGGATGTTAAGATTTAACTATTCCCTTTAAAATATGAATGAACACTGGATTCGGTTTTAACTTGAAATAAAGTAATCATTCTCATAATTTTTAAAGACTTCAACAGTAAATTCAGATAAGTATTGCACCACATTTTTTGCTGTGAAAAGGAAGGATATATATAAGATAAGATCGGGTAGAATCACACAAGATTAAATATATAATATACCTTATTATTGCTCCTGTCTTTTTATACAGGAAATTGCGGGTAAGAGAGCATACTATAATTTTGGCTTAACTTAAAGTAATTTTATTATTTTGAAAAAAATAAGCAACTCATCTACCTACATAGAGCTGAAAAAAATATTGAATCCATAAAGAATCGCGTTTTAAAAACCCCTTGATGTATGGGTAACTAAGGGAGGTTTTTGTGATTTTGTGATTCATCCAAATTTGTATGCATATAAATTTAACACAAAAAGTGTAATAGATGAATTTGTTACTGTTTTTGACGATTCATGAGGTCCACTAGTTTCTTTTGAATTGAGAACAAAAACCTGTTCGGTTAGAGATTTATAGATTTAAACACAACATATGAGAGTTTCAATAATAATAATTTCAATAAATAATAGGAGATCAGTTATTCATTGTCTGTAATATTTTATTTTATTTCATAATTATTGTCGAACAGCTGATCCAATTTTGGGTTTACGACTACTAATATTCAACTCCCTATCCTTGTAATTTTGAACCCAATCCTAAAGACAAGAGAACTCCTGGATCAAGTATCGGGAGAAATTTGCCTTCGTGGAAGACTTTTTGAAGGAGCTAACTCACATTTGAGTTACATGGAGAGGAAAACAACGAAACCCTCTCATGGTTAACCTGACGGCATGGGGTCTCTTACCCATGATCCACCTACCAGTGAGGATATTTTACGTCAGCACAGTGGTCAGTGCGAGGCGGTTGCGGAATTCGTATCGACCAGCCATCGTAGGAATTCAAATCCGGTCACTTCTTCGGAAGGCGAACGCTGTATCCCCTGGTGCACCACGACTGAAATAAATACTAGTGATAATAAAGAATATTTGACTGAAGAAGTTAGTAACGTTAACTGAAAACAAGCATTTTGTTATTTTATTTTTCAGTCAGATCTAGTGCCGCCTTTAATATGCTTCGCCGTTCTGACTTCTCTATTGGTGGTAAGTAAAATATTTACTTGTCTACCACAACATTACCATTGATTACTATTCAGCTATCAAAAGCACTAAGCATCCTTGTCTTCTTATAAACTTGTCATCATGTGTGTGCTTGTACTGCATATTAAAAGGTGTACAGTGATCACCGCTCTCAATATGTACTCTTAGAATCTTTGTCAAAAATTAAGTCAAAAAATATACACACACGAGGATCTCAAATTTACATTCGAGTTTAGAAAAAAACAAAAATTTCACTGACCTTTGTTGAATCACTAGCGTGGAAGGTGTGATGGAAAAAAAAGCTGATTTTATTGCCCTATGAAACTTTTAGGCATTTCTAATAATTATCTTTCAACTCCTTTCTGTTTTCCGCCTACCTCAGCATTGATTCGTTGTACTTTGATATTATTTTGCTTTTTTTCCTCGCTGAAATATCTGTTTGCTATCCCTTATTGTTTTCACTTTTTTTCACTTCATTTTCATCCTGAATTCTTAGAATATCTATTAGGAGTAATCGATGTGAAACACCATGCATTTGATTGCAACCTGCATCAAACACCCAGCATGAATTTTAGTGTATTAAAAATTTAAAAGCGGGGATGCGAAATAAGTTCTACGCTGCGTGGTAGTTTAAAAGGAAAATAAAAATTTGATGAATAGTGACTGAGGCCTTGAAAGGGCGATATTGAAAGATATGGTTTCCAGTAAAATGCTGCTTAAGTTTAAAAAATTGTGCACAATGTATGATATGTAGCCCCGTATCTGCTAACAAAAGTTTGCACTCCGAAAATTTATATTGACAGCAATTTTTGTACACTATTAGCTATTAAGAAATGCAGATAAGAAAAATTTTGCGTGCGTTGTAGATACTTGCAAAACTTTTAAATTTTAAATGAGATTTTTATATAAATGTTTATTTCAAAATATTATATAATTATTCATTTAAGTTCTTAAATCTTGTATTTTTTTCTAATATTTACTTAAATGCGTTTTTCTTTTTTTTTTTTAGATTTATGCTGGGGCCAACATCTATTACCATTTCAAGGAATTAATGGACGAAGAACAAAGAATTAGTAAGAAAACTTAAAACGGTATTTTTCGGATAGCAAGCGAAAAGTCACCAAAAAATATAGAACTCCACCAACTTCATTTTCATTTTTTAGTTTAATTTTTTAAAGCGCATAAAAATTAAATAAAATTGAAAGAATTAAAATAAAATAATCAGGTTTTCTTGTTCCCGTCTTACCAAAAAGTACCCGTAAAACTTATAATATCAAACTATTACTCTTTTTCAAATTAAATTTTAAACTTTTTTCTTCTTTTTTTTAATATTGCAAAAGCTTTTATTGCCTAACATTTAAGAGGACATATTATTACATTACATTTAGACATTAACATTTAGTAGGATCAAGAATGCTAAAAATAACTTTTCTAAGAAACTACTTCTGATATCGCCTTGAAATTTTTTGATAATATTCAAGATTAGATCAGTTGTATGTTGTGATAATGTTTTAGCGTTAACAGGCATACTTTTTGAGTTACGAAAGATATTTTGTATGAAACTTTTTAAGAAATTACAAGTTCTCAGCTCATAATTTTTTTTTAAATTTCTGCCAAAGATATAAATTAACAGTTATCACAGTGTAAACATGTAGATGTAAATATTCTGTGTGAAAAAAAACTGAAACAGCATCTTGTTTAGATGTTGAGGAAAGGTGTATCGAAAAAAGGTCAGTTTTAGCGTTATTGGTATACGCCCTACCGACTTCCCTTAAAAAAAACTAGGCGACTAAGTCCCCCATTTGCTGCCGCTCACCAACCCAGTAGAACATTGCTTCCCAATGATTGTTGCTTGTTGGCATTAAACAGTTTTTTTTCTACAGAAATTTAAGTCATTCACTTAAAATATTCGTACTAAAAAGAATTCTGTTTACTTACACGTTCATTCTCACATCCAAACATTTCTCAGATGATTCTTTTTTTTTCTTCATTTATTTCCAATGAGCTGCACAATCGGTCTTGCCGATGAGCAGACCTAGTGCGTTCTCCAGAGGTAGTATCCACTCTTTTAGGACCACCACAATGGGTGAGATACCGTTGGTCATGTTAATTTGGACGTCTAGTTTCTGCCACACTAGATGGCAGCAACAAGACTCTATTTGGATGCTAAAGTGCACTAGGAATTTAATTTTGCCGGAAATGCAAAGAGCCAATAAGGCACTCCAGGGATCTTTTACATGCCGCATAATCATACGACATGGCCGCTGAGGATTTTCTGCGTGTCTGGGCCGGGGATCGAACCCGCAGACTTGGGCTCAGAAGGCCGACGACAAATCAACTGTGCTACCCAGCCACATCTCAGATGATTCTATTAGTGAGCATAAATAATTGTGTTTAGCAATCAATTTTTAATGTAACATTTAAAATTAATATGTATATTATTATTACAAGTTAGGAATACAAAATATTGATTGCACAACCCTAATTTAATATTTTCGTTTAAAAAGCAGACTGATCAAATCACCTAATCTTTTAACGAATTTCTTAACTGTAATTTATAATACACTATCTACAAATAAGTATTTGGGCACCTATGCAAATGACTATATCTGCGGTCCTGAGATACGTCACGCTCTCCACCGGTATATATCGTTAAGGGAACAGCATCGGCATTAGTCCCATGCAAGATGCCTACTGCACTATTTTGGATGACAATGTACTTCCTACGTTGTGGCAGATTTACGGGGTGGACCCCCTATTACTTCCAGGACGACAATGTCAGCTGGCATGTTGCGAGAGTCACCAAGGCTTGGTATGGTGCCAATGGGGTTAATCGAATGGACTGGCCTGCCCAGATCCCAGACCTGAACCCTATCGAGAATCTCTGGGACGAGTTGAATAGCCGAATTAAGCGTTGTACTACCCGTAAAAAAAATCTCTGAAGGAACTTGCATGTCTTCTCCAAACCGAGTGGAAGAAAATACCACTAGCCGTCACGCAAGGACTTGTGGACAAGGAAGTTATGCCCTGAAGGTTTCAAACTGTAATTGCCTCTCGTGGAGGCTCTGCCAACTATTGCTTATGAATAAAATTTGTTTTTCTTTTCAATCACACGTGCCCAAGTACTTATTGGTAGATAGTGTACTATATTAATGTAAAACAATCAAAAACAAAAACGTAATAATAGCACAATAGAATAAAAAAAGGTTTCGGGTAAATATAAAACATTAATGAAATTAGAGAATATAAAAATATTATATTGGAAAACGATACTTTTATGACTTTTATCAATTTTATCCGGATGTCACCCAAATAAGTGAAACATCAATCGAACATCGAAATAAGTGCGGGAAAACTAGATCCTACCTTGTGATTTTTCCGGCTAATGAAAATGCACCAACAACAATGAAACATTTTGTCAGACCATTCCGTTTTTATGTTATATATAATAGAGATTCATAGTTCGCACTTAGAAATCAATTTAGCAATAACATTCCCATTTCTGATTGGCTAGTTCAAAAATTTGTAACGTATTGTCAACGATTTTATTGGATATGACACACTCATTCAGTTCTTATGTATGTAGTTAGATATTAAATACTATGAAACATCATCTCTGGAAAAAATGTGTTTAACTATTTTCACACTTTAAAGTAGTAAATGATTTTAAAATTGCAAATATTTGCCTGTGTGATGATGAAAAAGTTTCTAATTCGAGGCACTTTTTTTAAAATTAAGATTAAAACTTAATTATTATGATGTTAGTTATTAATATATCTATATACAGTGCGCAAAATAAAAAATGTACCACTCTGAATTGCTTTAAATCTAATGATCGGTTCTTCACGTTCTGGAACTCAATCTTAAGGGTTCGAGAGGTGCAGCTCAATAATGATATTTAATTAGTGCAGACAATGTTATAAAATATTAAATCAGATACAAAAACGTACTTTCTCTGATTAAATATATTTTTTTTCGATGGATTCAGATTTCTACCCTTGAAATATAAGGGGTAGCCGCAGTCTTGCAAATATGGTCCCCTTAGTTTGGTCAGGAGAACACATTTAAAAAACTTGAGTCAATGCTTTCAAACACTATCTATGCTCAAACTATAGCCAAGAATCTTCTATAAGAATCTATAAGAATCTTCTTTTTCCTCGCAAATGTCTTCACTCATGTATTTAAGATTGTTTTTAGTTGATTCCACCATCTCACCATCTCATCATATTGATTTTATGCTGTATAANAGTGTTTAACTATTTTTGACACTTTAAAGAAGCAAATGATTTTAAAATTGAAAATATATGCGTATGTAATAATGGAAGAGTTTTCAGTTTGAGGTACTCTTTTTAAAATTAAGAATAAAATTTCATTATTATTATGTTAGTTATTTATATATCGATATTCAGTGCGCAAAATAATGATCTAATGATCGAATCTTCACGTTCTAGAACTTAGTCTTAAAGGTTCGAGAGGTGCACCTCAATAATGCTACTTAATTAGCCCAGACAATGTTTTAAAATATGAAATCAGACACAAAAACGTACTTTCTCTGAGTAAATATACCATTTTTTCGATAGATTCGGATTTCTGACCCTTGAAATAAAAGGGGTAGCCGCAGTCTGGCAAATATGGTTGGTCCCCATAGTTTGGTCAGGAGAGCACACTTAAGAAACTTAAGGCAATGCTTTTAAACACTATCTATGCTCAAACTACAGCCAATAAGAATCTTCTTTTTTCTCGCAAGTGTCTTCACTCATGTATTTAAGATTGTTTTGGGTTTGATACCACCATCTCATTCAGCTACAATAGAGGGGGACATATTAGGTTCCTCTAAATCTATGTTTTAAGCTACTATTTTTTAATCATAAAATTACACTTTGCAAATTTCAAAATAGGTTGATTTAAAAAGAAGCAATAAAATTCCTTCCTTGCAAATATAAATTTCGTTCCTCTTAAAATTTAAACATAAAATGTCAATATACAAAATAATATTTAGTGAGGGCTTTAACATCAGCAAAATCAAGACCTACTCTTGGTAGTTTAACCAAGCCTGTTAAAGCCTTCCTAAAAAATATGTTCGTTAAATTTACTGAGTATAAAATCTATATTAATGATGTCATATTTATAGTTTCAGAAAATCTGCAAGGGCAAATAGGACCGCAATGCAGGCGAACGTCACTTCAACGTGTGCTAGCGTTGTTTAGAAGAACCAGACCGACAAGGACATCCCAAGAACCTGGTAATGGTATTTATTAACATTTACTTAAATAATTTAAGTCATGAATGTTTTTGCGAAAATTGAAATAAATATTACGCACTCTAACTCTCTTATACATTCAAAAATAAGTTCGAGTCCGACTATCTATCCCTGCTTGTATAAGGCTGGACTGTAAAGATGGGAGTGTAAGAGTTCGGCTGCTTTAAAAGAAAACACAATCAATAGTATCTAAGATAATGAGGTCATTATACAGGGTGATTCTAAAAAGATGGGCAAAATTTTAGGAAGTGATAGTACACCCCCAAGCAAACAATTTTTGTCAAAGAATGCATGGTCGAAAACAAAACGCAAAACCGCTAGAGGGAGTCAAAGTTTATGTTCTTGTATGAGGCAAAAACACACAAAGAACGATGAAGTTAAGTTATAAAAGCAAATTTAAGGGCATGTGATTACACTAAGTGTTCAAAACAGTGCTCGGCAGCGGCTATACAGGCAGTACAACGGCGAAGAAAAGATAGGCGAACATTCTGAAACACACTTGGGTGTGTACTATCACTTCCTAAAATTTTGCCCATCTTTTTAGAATCACCCTGTATATCTAGGATCATGTAATAAGGTCGTGACGATTAATCACGTGACAAATTTGCAACCAGCAGCAAATACTACTATTAAAATTTCCAAGCGATGGCGCTGCGTCTTTAAAAACAAATGGTTGGGAAAATGTTATGCAATTCACTGTGATAATCGTTAGAGCAGAGTATTGAGTGTAAAATAAGTAATTTGTAAGAAAGTACACATTTCGCCCAGAAATTTATTGATCTTAATACATATTTTAAGAATAAATATTAAAAATTTATTTAAAAAGTACAGTTTTGCAAATTACTGTTTAAATTCAGTTGCAAGATAACCGGTATCAAAATTTGACTAAACGCTGTTGAGGAAACCATGGTTGAAAATATCAAAACTTTGATTGTCCGAAGAAGTAGAAGAGCTGAAAAACAATTTGTAGAAACTCGTTAGAGTTTTATATTGAAATCGAGGCCATGTCTTCTTCAATAGTGATTCGACAAATTTCAAAACGGTTTTCTTAAATATTAATTTTTAACCTCCAATGTGTGTAACCTCCAATTTTCTGACTTCATTTTCAGAAACGGTTCCAGACATGCATAGTTAGGACGCCTTTACAGAACACTTATTATGTGAATAAATAACAAGAGAACAAAAATAATTGTAGCGGAAATAAAACCTTCAAACACAATAAACGATTGCGGTATAGACTTGACTTTTGGTTGAAAAATAGTTTAGCTAATGAGAAGAATAAGAATATTATAATAAAGGCAGCTTATTATATTCAAAATTTAATATTTCCGCAACTTTGATACGTTATCTTGTATGGCTTAGGCCATAAGTCGAAAATAGAAATAATCAGAAATTAATTCAACAACTAATAATTGTTATGTAACAATAGAGTATACCTAATAACTAAAATAACTAAAAATTATAAATCTCTCATTACTTACAAAAAATTATTTCACTTAATAACTGTGCTGCCATCATAGACATTACATATTTCCAGGCTTTTAAAATTTCTTTCATTTTATTAATTTAAATTTTTAATCATTCTTAATCTAACTTTAATTTAATTAAACCAATTATTTAATTTTTATTACATTTTATAAAAAGCAAATATAAATATTTTATCCTTTTTTAACAATCAATGTAACGGCAAACTTTTTAATTCAACACAAATGTAAAACTCATTAATTCACTGCCGCGAATAAATTGAACATCAAAATCTAATTATAATTTTTTATTCCTTTACTGTCTCCGGCCATTAAGGTCAAAAGGATCCAATTGTTCTTGTTTTATAGTGGCGCCATCTATGGCCATGAATTTGACTTCTGTCTCATTCATGCGTCACACCCCCCGTTTATAGGGCGGACCTATTCTTGCATCCATTCATTTGTCCACAGATCGAATTTTTGATCTGAATCAGAGAGCGATCAATCTCCGATTCAGTACCCCTAGTGGTATGGATTTGTTATGGGAACATGTGAGGCAACAGGTTTAACTTGCACCAATCATCACTTACTACACGAGGAGTCTTCGGACGACTGGATTTGAACTCCCGTTCTTACAAACGTGAGTTCAGCGCCCTGGAAACCATGCTATTCGTCCCTTTATTTCTTACGTTACTATATTTCTCTGACCACAAAAATATTTCAGTTACAGGGTTTAATTCTCACGATCTTTTTGGCAATAAAGCTATAGACAAATTATTTCAACTTTTATATTAATTATACGGGATTAGCTTTCTTTTTGTCTATTTTATCTTTCGATAAATCGCCAACTAGGGATCTCTGTCCATACTCGCAACTGTCCATTGGAAACAAGTCAATCACTTTTTAATTTTGAATTGTTGGAGTTAGGACCGAAGGTTTCACCCCTCGATCCGACCGTTAATTTACGAAAATCTTTTTGAAGTTAGAATAATGCATCTCTTCATCCCAATAAGGAAACATCCTTTTATTGTGTGATATTGCTGTGGCTATAATGTATCTAATAATAATATTTCCTAAAAAAAAATTTAAAAAAATTTCTTTTTTTTTTTAAATGATTTTGCTTAATTCTCTGGAATAAATTTATATGTCGTTGGAAGTGCAATTGTGTCAAAAATCATTACTACTACGACCAAAGTCTTTATAAAAATTGCAATGAATTTACCTCCACCATAAGAACTGGAACTAGGCCCATTAACAAAATTGTTAATTATATACAAATGGATAGAGTATTTATATTATTATTCCTTTTTTTGGACAATTAATAGTAATAAGTATCGTATAATTGCTTTCTTGTACACGTCTATTCTTGCTTTACCGCTACAATGAAATTGTTTCTTTCACATTGAGCAGATAGTTGTTAATGTGACGGAGAAAGACATAATCGACCGTTATTATCAGTTGGTTTATGGAATAATGGAGAAAAGCACATCGAAAAATTATTATGAGACATTGATTAACACCAAAAATAAAGAATATGAGACAACATAGTATATCGGACTATTATTGTAAGTCAACTAAGGCAAGCATATCAGACAATTATTGCGATACAATCGAAAAAATTATTTCAGACTGAAAGATAAAAAGATAAAGGGGGGGAGGTAATCTACTACTTAAAAATCCATAAATGACGTTTACAAATTAAAAAGAAGAAGAATTAAAAATTGTGATTCTGTTATTTTTCAGTGTTCCAACGTAGCAGTTCACCACCGAGAATTTTAGCAATTGGTCAGCCACCTCGCACGCAAAGAAGATCACCACCAACAGTTTTATCTGTGGGTCAGCCACATCTATGTCCACAAAGATCCCCACCGACAATTTTATCAGTTGGCCAGCCACGTTTATCTCCCCAAAGATCACCACCAACAATTTTATCGGTTGGTCAACCACATCTATCTCCCCAAAGATCACCTCCAATTTTATCAGTAGGTCAGCCACCTCTCTCTCCCCAAAGATCACCTCCAATAATTTTATCAGTTGATCAGTCACCTTTGTCTCCCCCAAGATCGCCACAGACAAGTTCATCAGCTAGTCAGCCACCCCTGTCTCCACTTGTGACAGAGAGAGAGACAATGCAGTCCATGTTGAGCCAAACCTACGCCAAGATGCTAATGGCCTCTCAACCTCCGCCAAATGCAAAACCTCCTCTTTAACACTTTTATTTCTCCTGAATAACCTACGAAAGCTTTGTTTAATTGAGAAAAGTATTGATTTAAACTCATCAACACTGATTCTGAAATTTTTGATTTGTCTCTAAAAATAAATTGTGGCTCAATCTGACGCATACGTTTTTTGTTATTTTTATCAAGCAGTCGTTTACTTTTACTTGTGGATTTTTTAAATATATGCTAAACTAAAACTAACTAACTGAATGCAAAATTTTGACATAGTTAGATATTTGAAAAATTCCTCAAATTTCAAAATTGCGAAAAAAAAAAAAAAGGAAAGAAAGAAAGAAAAAAATTTCTTATTTAAAATAATATATCGCTTTAAACAACAAAGTATCTTTCTTTATTTTTTGTGAAGATAATAACAATAAAAGATACAACTGGATGCCTGCAGGTCACGTCATCCTCAGTAAACCTAAGTTTGTATTCTGTAGATTCAGAAGCCAATCAGGCTCGACACACGTGAGTGACGTCACCTACAGGTATCCAATTAAGTCTGATTTCAATCACATGGTTAGGCATAGTCACTTCACTCCTCGAATTGCAAGTATCCAATTTACATATGATAACAGCCATCTTAAATATGCTAGACAAACTAATCTTTACATACATATTATAATCTTACGATATTGAATATTACATTATATACTATTAAAATAATATGGTAAATATTAGATGTAATTTTAACTTTTCTGCAAAATACTGTCGATTAAAATTGTAAAAAAAAAACTTATTTTAAGTCAATAAAAAGACATCTTCAGTACAATAACCTTCAATTAAATACACTTAAAAACATATAAGTGAAAGCAATAAACCTTTTTATTATTATTTACAATTATCATTTACAATTGTTATTTACAATTATTATTTTATTGGATATTATAATATTAGGATTTATAGTCAACTTTTAAAAAAGTTTCTCGTTACAATAATTAGTTTATTTTCTATTAAAAACTATCTTTTGGTTTCAAACTATTTTACTCCCCCTGCTTATTTTAAACTATTTAATTACTCCATAATTGTGGTCCTGCAAGAGTGGCCAACAAATCTGCCCTTCAGATGTCTGTATGATGAAGATCATTCTCCAGGTGAGCATTGAAAAAAAATTACTCGTTCATCGTAGGGAGTGAAAAAAAGAAATAAACAATTAGTACTAAATAGCGCTACGAAATCATACGCCAAACTGAAAGCTAACACAATTAAGAAATCTAAAATAATTTCAAATTTTTTGTATTTATTATTATCTTTATCAGAGACTTCACGTTGTTGCAATAGATTAAGCAAATAAGCAAAACAAGTTTTAAGTAGTTCATCCAGTTCGAAATAAAAATTTAACTGTATTTAGTATCATTTGGCATAATGCTCTTCATCGAAGCCACTTCATAATAGTCAAATTTTATCACAATCAAGCCATTTTCTTCACACTTTTCCAAGGACCGGGAAAACCTTTTTCTATAGTACGTCAGTAATAGTGTTGCTATTTTGTACACTTCTCTAAAACAAATTCGTATCATTTCTTCATTAGTTTTGCTTTAAGTACATTGTATATTTCGTTTCATTTTAGTCACCAGCTATAACCAAAATTAGTAAAGCATCATGCAGTAACAGTTACTTTATTTCAATTACCGCTGATTTTAAATTAGGGCATCAATAATAGTATGGCGATTTTTTGCGCTTCTCTTAAACAAATTAGATGTATTTCACCATGAATTTTGCTTTTAACTACTTAACTCATTTTTTTTATCTCCTGGGCCATGGTGGCTCAGGGTATAGAGCATTCACCTTCCAATGAGGTGAACCGAGTTCGAATCCCAGCGATGGCTAATGGATACAAATTCCGCATCCGGTTCACACCGACCACAGTAAAAATAGCCTCAGTGGTAGACGTATGTGGGTTAGAGCCCCTTTACCGTCAAGCTAACCGTGGGAAGTTTTCGTGGTTTTCATCTCCGTGTACTGCGAATCAGGGTTATTTCCATGAAGAAGTCCTCCACGGAGGCAAATTTCGCCCAATGCTTGATCCAGGAGTTCCTTTGTTTTCTGGATTTGGATTCAAAATAACAAGGCTACGGAATACTAGCAGTCGCAAATCCAAAATTGGGTCGGCTGTTCAACGACGGTCATAAAATTTTAAAATAAAATTACAATAGATTTTAAATTGTTTAGTCTTCCTATAACTACCACGTTCCGGTTGGTTCTCGACGAAACCTGAACTCTTAAATATTTATAAAACTACTTCATCACTCATGTGGGATCTCGAAAATTTCTTAGGGGTCCTTTAAAATTATTAATAAGATTTTAAAGCCGTCTTCATCGATTGAAAACATGGTACAGGTGTTAGTAGGCTGGCTCACTAAACAGGCTTACCGGGATCTGGTGATGACTATAAACTCATTCGCTCATATTACTTTTATTTTGTGTTATACTTCCTAATCAATCATGTTGGAGCCGCGATGGCTCAGGAGATAGATCGTTCTCCCTCCAATGCGGCGAGAACCGGGTTCGAATCCCAGTCGATACGAATTCCGCATCCGGCTTGCACCGACCACAGTGCTGACGTAAAATATTCTCAGTAGTATACAGATAATGGGTTAGAGTTCTTGCGGTCTTCCTCTCCATGTAACGCAAATGCGAGTTAGTTCCATCAAAAAGTCCTCCAAGAAGGCAAATTTCTCTCCCTACTTGATCCAGGTGTTCCCTTGTCTTCTGTATTGGGTTCAAAATTACAAGGCTATGAGTTTGAGCATTAGTAGTCGTAAACTCAAAACTTGGGTCGGCTGTTCAACGACAGTTATAAAATCAATCATGTTGATCGATATGTAACATTAAGCACCATGCTTTTAACGAAACTCGTATCATGAAACAAGTAAAGATTGTCATTTCCTCAATTTGACAATAAATTCATTCGGAGCATTTCCAGGGAAATGGTTTCATCAAAAACAAATTAAATTTCGTGTATCCATTTTTTACATACTATTTTTGACCACACTTTTTTACACACAATTTTTGACAAAAAAAAAATACTTTCGTCATACAATAAAAGGAAATAATTTAGAGTGAACCGATGTAATGTAGATACGGATGGTATGTCGCTCAAACAAAAGCACCTGAGTTAAATAGCCTTGTTAAGTGTAGAGTTAAATAGAACTAAAGCCAGAAGCGGTTAAACTGAGCTAAACACAAAATTATTACTTTCTCAATTAGATAGCGAAATCAAGTTATAGTATAAAAATAGTCTTGAATAATAATTAAGAGATTAAAATCAAAAGAAGTAAGATCTCTTGAATGCTTTGTGTTTTGGGAAACCTTGTCATTAAAAGCCCTTTTTCCGGCTATCTTTTATTTTAAGTTGTTTGTATTTTATTATTTTTCTTTTTTTTAAAAAAAAATAACTTTTGAAGACCATTCTACAGCACAATACCTTTCAGAAAAAAAGGGTGAGTTACTTTATTAAATTGTGAGAAATAGCACTTGATAATTTTCGGAACTTAGCGGAGCTTTTTCTCAGTAATTTAAAGCAATAAAATTACGGGGTTAGTTATTAGGGAGCGGAGTGTCTACTACACCGGCCAGTAGTTTCAATATAATTCATTTTGCTACTGTGCCGAAGAAAAAACTTGGACCACTCACAGAGTAGATTCTCTTCACGTGACTTTTTCTTAATTATATTTTTTGTTTTGATAATCATGGCGGCCAAGATTGCTGTGGGATCACTTTCTTCTTCTGATGAGGAATTAGTATAAACTATCTCTAAACTGAAATACCCTACACAGATGTTCTTAAGTTTAAATGCCACTGCCCGGTATACCCTACACTGGGGTTTTTTAAAGTTAAGTATCACTGCCCGGGATATTCATTGTTTTTTTAAAGTTAAGTGTCACTGCCCGGTATTCCCTACACAGATGCTTTTTCAGGTCACGTGTCACTTCCTGTAAGCCCTACATTGATGGGGGTTTTTTTCAGGTTAACTGGGCAGTTCAGATCTGTTTAATATTTTTTCCGCTATCTTTCCGACCCAAGAAATTGTTTCAATAACATTGCCGCTACTGAACGAAACTCCTCGGATTAGTTCCTGCGAATTGCCACTATTCTAAAAGTCGGAAAATGTCGGTGGATATATTTTACCGACTGTCGGTGCAATTAACACTATCATTTGAGAACACTCTACGTTTTTTGGTGGATTTTTTAGAAATATGCATTTTTTTTTGTTCAAGCTGACAAAAACTGATTAGGAAAAAAACTTCATTAACATACATTATACATAATCAAGTACTTACGCATAATATATTTTTTTCATATGTCTAAAGATAATCAAACGCAAAATACTGAATTATCTTTAAAAAAATGCGGACTTCAGAATTGCCTTGGTTTAATTTTGTGATAAAAATATCCCTGGAAATTCTAGTAATCGTTTTGATAGAAAAAAAAATAAAAATGCTTATATTAGATACTAGGTTCAATATAACATTACTAGGTTCAACGGAACTTATTTTAATGAAAGTGATCAACTAAAATTTATTTCTGAATTGTAATTAGTTATTTAATTAATCAGGAAATTGACTTCTGTATAATTCACCGTAGGTTACCATGGAGACAGGGGAATCCCTTTTCTGTCGGAAAACACCCTTAGTGGCGTATTAAGCAATATCCCCTCTATTCACACACCCCTGAAAATTCGGTTGCGACGAAAGAAAAATATAGAATTAAATTGCTGTTTCGTTGCATATTATTAACATCAAGCTTCCTAAAATCATTTAAGGAGAGGGCCCCCTATTTTACATATTAAAAAATAAGTAAAAACTCAGAGTGCGTAGCCAAATTATTAAAAAAAAATAAGCACTTTTAAGGGACTTTTCAAGCACTTATAATTTTAAGCACTAAAAAAATATCATAGTTAGGCAGGGTTGAAAAGTTTTTGACAATTTAAGGTTTTATCTGGTTTTAACCATCATATCTCAACAAAAAAAATTGGTATTATTTTTGACAATTGTCAAAAATTATGAAATTTTGAATCATGTGAGACGAATGGCGTTTTCATACCGTACGAACTGACAATACGCCGAAATAGATTGGGGTTGAATTAATTGTGAAAACGTTGAATAAAACAATGCGAACTGTGTCTTTTTGCATAATTTGTAGCAAACACAGCATGGTAAAGGAAAAATCTTATTTTGGAAAAGGGAAAATTTAGCACTTTTTAAAAACGCCCAATGAAAAAAGCACCTTTAAGGATTTTTAAAAAGCGAAAATCGAAAATAAGCACCTTTAAGCACTTTTTAAAAACGCTACGCACCCTGAAACTACTATTTTATCTATGCGTGCCCTTAGCAATAACAATTCCAATATATTCTTATGTATTGTCAGTGAAAAAATAAATAAATAAATAAAAACGCTTTTGTTGCATTTTTATCATAAGTTCTAAAAAAGAATTCCATGAACGCATAAATTCCAAAAACTAGAAAAGGAAAAACGCTACAGATGCTTCTTTCATAATCAGATACAACGGCGTCAGGTAGGACATGTGACGTCACGGAATATTTCCCAATTACCTGCTGCAAAAATTATCCACCACGCATTCCACTCCACGCAGTTCCTGTTTTCAAAAAGAGAATAATACTTCAATGGACTTACGGAATATACTCACTTATAGAAAGGAAACGTTGTTCCATGCGGAGGAATATTATTATTTTTCGCGTAACGTCCACAAAAAGGAATACTCTTTTTTTTTATTATTATTGTTTTTGTTTTTTGAAGGTTCGCTTGAGTGAAAACAAGTTAGTTTATCACAATGCACCAGAAACAACCGAAAGCAAACGATATTCGTGATGCTGCAGCTGTTGCCATTTGGAGATTGAGTTATACATAAGCGTTCTCATGATTGATAGCGTGAAAAGTAATGCGACTACATTCATCAGTCTTGTTCATATTATTCGTTTCCCGGTAAGTTACTGCTTCAATGAGCATTATTATTGATTTAAGTTTTATTATAATTGTAAAAAAACGATATCTAAAAACGCTTTCAAATTTACAAAATTATCCATATAAAAATTGCTTTGAAGCAAATGAAAGTAGAAAATAGGTGAATGAAACTGCTTGAAATTTAAAAATTCGTAAAGTCTAACTTCTGTAATTTAAAACTGTAAACTAATAGGATACAAATTTATCTATTTCAACATATAGCCAAGAAAAGTCCAGTCTAAATTCTATGTAATCGCTTGATTATAACCAAATATCGGAAAAAGTAGGAATTTGCTTCATAGTAAATGATCCACTCGAAAAATTTGATTAACTAATAGGAATGTTCAAATAAATTGAGAAGATATTCGAATTTAAATACAAAAAAAATTTTTATTTATGTACCAAAAATGTAAAGCATACGTCAAAATAAGATAATGAAACATAGTTTTACTCTGTATTAGTTTATTCAAACGAGAATTAAAATGAAATTTTAAACATGTTACCACATTAAACATGACCCTACAGTCCAATAATGAACATTTTAATCAAAATGCTAAATACTTATGACGTCGTTTTTTTTTAAATTATAATTGACATAAACTTTTACTTGTAAAAGTTTGCTTTTTTTCTATTAAAAGTTTGTGCCAATTAGGAAATTATAACCATGCCTTATTTTCTTTTTCTATTCTTAGATATAACAAAATTTAAAACTCCTATGACATGTATTTTTTACTCGTATTATTCGAAATATCTTTAAAAAGAAGTTCCGAAAATAATATATCGATTCTTTGCTTCAAAATCTACATCCGTTTGCGTTTTAAAAAAAAAATGCTTTAGTTCATGCGTCAATGGCGACGTATTTTCAGACAACAGGGAAAAAAAAATTTTTTTTCTCTTAAAGCAATTGTAATTTTATATATACTATATATATTCTAGGACTCAAACTTAATGGTTCGAAGGGGTGACCTCAAACATGCTAATTTATTTGTGCAGACGATATTTTAAGTTACGAAATCAGACACAAAAAGTACTTTCTTTAAAAAAACAGTTTAAAGAGACATTTTAATAAAGTCGTATATTTAAAGTCGCCTTTTTCGCCTACTTCGCTCTCAAATTTTGTATTCTGCCATGTCAAATTGCATACTTTAAAATGATAGAAAAAATTGTATGCTTCAAACATTTTTTGACCATTATTAAATAAAATCATAAACATATTAAATATTTGCCTAAATTTATTTTTTGCGTAGAATTAATTATTTTGATGACCCATTATTTGAGTTCTATAACGTGAAAATCCGATCAATAGATCAAAAGTTATTCGGGGTGATCTGTTTTTCTCTTTCCTTTTTTTTTCTGGTGCACTGTGCGATTGGTGCCCTGTACATAGCCACATGTCAAAAAGAAAATATTTCTAAAGCTTTGGAATCACAATGAACTTTTTTAAACATGCAATCATCAAAAAATAATAAAATAGTCATTCATAAATATTTCTCTTAGCCTATTTTTTTATTTATCCGACTTTCTCTTTATAAATCAATAAAATTTTTATTTTTAAGCGATTTTCCAGTTTTTTCGAATTATGTTTTGTACTATTTAAATTAATATTATCGAATAATTTTTTTAATAAAAACAACTTATTAAAAATCTATTAATTATAATTTTATTTTTAACACTATTTCATAAAATAATACTTTTAATAGGGTTTTTTTAAAAAATATATAAGCTTTATTTTTTTTGATAATTTTAAAATTCATTTTGTCAGCAAAATAAAATAAATGTATATTGCCATATCTAAGTTACAATATCGCATATTTTGAATTTAAATTACATCTGCTTTTAAAATTTCTTTGAAATAAAAGGAATAAATAAATTGCAACATAGTCGCGAAACAATATTTTGGAAAATTTCACTTTTATTTACATGAATCATCGCGGGTAAAGTATGTTTCGTTGATCTACACACATTAAAATTTTTGAATAACAGAAAATGAAAAAAAAATGAAATCCTGATTACAAAACGTGTGAAAGGTTGTAGAAATGTGTCATTATAAATTCTACACAAACGAGTTTCGAATCAACTTAATTCACCTCTATGTTCCATCAACGTCAAAGAACGTCATTAGCGTGAATACATTGAAACGTAAATAACTTAATTAATGAAATATCAACAATAATTTCCTGTAAATTATTTCGTAATAACTTTATTTATGCTTCAGTTTAATGTGTCGAATTCGCAATAAAGTTTTAACAAATGTGATGAATATTTATAGAACTTAATAAACTTGGATTGCTTAACAATATTTGCTTAGAAGTCTCTTTATTCAAAATTATTTCACAATTTTTCTCCATAAGAGGAATTTTCGTACCGATTTCGAAGAGCAGCACTCAAATAGTAGTAATGCTGTCAATAAATTCTTAATTTACGTTATTTATCATAAATTTTTATTTATTTACCATTATTAGAGTTTAAACGACCTTGACACATTAATGCTCTTTCCTATAACTTCAGAAAGAAGGTAATAAAATTATTTTAAATTGTGACCTTGTTCTGCGATAACTTTCGTTTTTAACAATGATGCACTTAAATATTGACTAAATGTTAAATAACTAAACACGGAAAAAATCGTATGTTCATTATTTAATAACGATTCGACCAACTTCTTTAATGTTTTAGTTTTTTGTCGTTTAAAATTGCGCAGTTTAAAATTATATATAAATTTTTAAACTCAAGAATTCCTAAAAAAAGGTTTAAATTTATTATTAAAAAATATTAACGTAAAAATACTTTTACGTAAAAATCACTTTATATTGCATATTCTTTGAAGATTCCTTGGAAAAATTTAGTTTTAAAATTATGTTGGAACAATATTATTTCGCATGCACAATTCTAGACACATGGAGAAATACTCCAAAAGATAAATTAGCATTAAGGGGCTTTATGTTATTGTTGTGGTTCATTTACGTCGCACTAGAGCTGCACAATGGGCTATTGGCGACGCGAAGTCGAGCACTTTATGGTAGAACAGTTTAACGAGGACCAATACCGCACACCCTCGGTCCCTACGCAGACTGATCCTAGTGGTCACCCACCAGCACACTAACCGCAGCCAGTGATGCTTGACTTCGGTGATCTGGTGGGAACCGTGTCTTAACGATCAGTCCACTGCGGGACCCATTTGTTTGGAGTTCTTCTTTACTTAAATAATTGAACTTAAACTTTCAACAGCTCACCTCACTATATCATATTAAGACCACATTTTTCAGATTGCTGCTAGGTGGCGAATCTAATTCCATCTGGGAAAAAATATATTTTTTAAATAATGGATTACGTTTTAATGTCTGCTTTCATGACTTAAAAGTTTTCTAAGCTCTGTAAAAGAAAAAAATTTCTGAAAATTACGAGCAAAAATGTGTCAAAATAGCTCCGAAACAAATATTGTCGAATTTGAAAACTCCATGCATTCAAAATTGAAACAGTATATGTTCATTTTATGAGTAAAAGGCATAGTCTCAAAAGTGATTGTGGAGAGAGAAATGTGTAAGAGAGATGTTCGTTGGCTGCCGGCAGGATTTGAACCATGGAACCCCGGGATAGTAATAGGATACTTTAACCGCCATAGTTTTACACTCCAGTCCATTAAGAATTCGGAAGCTTTATATAATGGTCGTCGCACATCATGACATACTTATTTCCAATTTCAATGGTTAAAAGGATTGCGATTTTAAAAATATGAACCCAATAGCTTTAACATTAGTAATTTTAATTTCACCTCTTACTTATGTCGCTATATCTTAAAAACTTTCAAGCTAATGTAATGTCATGATGTGTCATAGCGGTAGCCGTACATAACATTCCTAACTTAGCTTGGAATAGGGTGCACAACTATGGTGGTTAGGGCATCGTATTACGAAACCGGAGGTCCTGGGTTTGGATCCTGCCAGCAGCAAAGGAAAATCTCTCGCACAAAATATCTCCTTCCGGGTGTATTTTGTCCAAAACTGAGTGCATGCTGTTTCAATTTTTAATACATGGGGTATTCACATTCGACTATTATTTGTTTCGGAGCTATTTCGACGCTGCTTCGCACACTTTTGAGAAATCCTTTTTTTTTTTTTTTAGAGTGAGGCAATTAATGTTAACCAGTTTCCTTAATTTATGCACGGGAAGATGATTTATACAGTGGAAATGATACTATATTAAATTTATGGAAATAGCTTTCCTCTAGCTACAAAAGTTTTATAGGTCAAAACGATTCGCGCATTTTGAAGCATCATTATAAAAGTCTTTTTTGAGGGGGGTTAGAGTTTGAACAGACCATAATTAGATGAGGAAATTAAAACATTTTTCTTTTTTAACCTTAAAAAACCTAATATTTAAGCCACGAAGCACGACTATGCTCATATTTGCCGAACGCTCTTTAAATACCTCTTTTAGGAAATGTCTCAAAAGTGGCAAGTTCAAAAGGAACTACTTAAAAAAAATTATAAAAAGTGTTTACATTTTCAGAAGGTTCACCTTCTTAAAATTAAATTACCACTTATAAAAAAAATAACTTTAAATTTGTTAAATGTTACACTAAGATAATTCACTAAATTAAAAATAATATAAAATTTTAACTTTAAAAAACTAATAAAATATAACCTTTATCGAAGACGAAGATAAAATTTATGTATGAATAAAATTTGGGTCCAACAGCGGTTCCATAGCAAATGATTTCATCGTTAAAGCGGATGCTTTTTTCAATTTTTACTTTAAAAACAAAACCTTCACAAATTATTTTACGATAAAAATTGTCCGTTTACAAAATATTTTATCAAAAATTGACCTTCTTTGAAAAACGAGTGGTTTATTCTTATTATAAGATTGATTTTCTTTGAAAAACAAGGCTGATGACCTCCTTAATTCGTAATTCTAAAACTACGACTTTTAAAAATTTGTGGTTTTTATGTTTACCGCAAAAACAGGACCTTATACACATTGTCAAAAACAAGAGTTTTGCAGAAAAAAGAAATTTATCTGCTAATTTTAGATTCAAAAAACTAAGAGTAAATTTTTCACAAATTCACAAAAGCAGAAAAGAAAGCAGACCCGGCACCCAACCGAAACACCTGCTGTTGCACCTCATAGCCCAAAAGTCAAGAAAACTGAGATGGGCACAGTGGCACTTAGCCCTCTATGAGCTGTCGCGCCACTGAGTTTAGTTGAGAAAAGTCTAAAATGATCACTGTTTTTTGCAATTTTATGAAAAATAACAAAATCCGGTTTATAACACAAGCGGTATAACACAAAAGATTAAGAAAAACTGACTTTCAAAGTTTGTGATGAAAATAAAATAAAAAACGATGCTACCTTTTTAACCCGAAAACTTGGGTTATACTAAGCAAGTAAAAACCCTTTTTACTGTCGACTAGCTGAATACCCATACTCAGTGCGAGATGGAAAAAAAATAAACTATCAATAAATCCGTACTAAACACTAGAACTAAATCATGCACAAAATTTAAAGACTTATACCAATATATTTAATAAAGTTAAAATAATTATATTTTTTATTTATAATTATTTTTCGCCTTTAATTTATTATCTACATTAAAACTGAACAATATTAAGGCAATTTTAATAGGTACAAAATATAATAATTTTACTTACATTAGTATATTTGGTATTGATAAAAATTACACCAATTCACCAAAAAGTTGCAATTACCAAAACTATATAAACACTATTGATGTGAATAATAGTATGGTAATTTGCAATGCTTCTCCTAAATGAATAAGTAGCATTTCTCCTATAAGCTTTCTCCTTAGTATGTGCCTTTTTGTTTCAATGAGTACCTTTTACCAAAATTAATCAAGCATCATTGGCGTTAATAGTAAAAATGCGATTTTTTACCCTTCTCCTAAATAATTTAGTACTATTTCCCCATTTATTTTGCCTTTCAGTTGATAACTTACTTTTTTCTTCAAATATTGTTGATTTTAAACAATTTAGTTTTATCAAAAATACGTTTCAAAAGAATAATTATCTTTTTTAAAAATAAACCTGTGGTTTTATATTGCCTGAGGAATACTAATTTGGTGATGTAATCCGCCTATGCTATCAAGCTGACAATGATCTGAATTCATTTGACATAATGAATAAAAAATAATTTAATATCTGAGAATAAACTCTCCTTTTGGTTAATGAGAGCTACAAGCAAACATCACTGATACTATCATTAAAATCGTCTGCAAGTTTCTTTTATATCAATGGCAAAAGATCTAAACCAATGAGAAAATTCCGATTTTGAAATGTCTCTCCTTAATGATCTAATTGAAATTTTTGAATAGTTTTTAAGATCGGGGACTAAAATTGCTCCTTTTACCCGCTTGCCAAATTTCAGCATAATAGAACTAACTCTTCTGAGTTATAAGAGAAGGCCACTCACACAGACAAATTCTTCATTTTAGTGTTATTATTATTAAAGATTAACAAGATTCTACCAAAGTTGAATTTTTTTTAAAAAGTTGTTTACGATAAACCCATGTTAAAAAAAAATATTTAATTATCAAAACGAAACTGATTTTCAACGTTCCAAGAAAGGAAGTAATTTGTTTATGCGTATTTTTTACGCCAGTTTCGGACAGAGAATTCGAACTCTGACCGCTATTATCAAAAGAGATATCGAAATGCTAGGGCCACTTATAGAAATGTAGTGAAGATAAGAAGAATGTTGAAGAATTTCATTCGGTCTGAAAAGAAGGTTAAACTCTGCTATAGAGGATGCGTAGTTTTTGTACTCCTCACATTGATTGGAACTGTTTACCTCATAGATCTTCTCTCACAAATGTAAGTTATTGTATTAACTAAAGTTTCATAACTATTTAGCAATATTGCAATGCACATTTATTCCATTATACAGTCAATTATAAAGTTTAAAAACTTATTACGAATTATTTTCAAAGAAAAAAACAGCATGACTATTGCATTCAATCAAAGCATTCCAACAAAGGTGGAAATTTTAAATTTCAAATAAAATACAGTTTTCTTTTATTGCAATGGTGAAATGCTTATTTAACCATGGAGTATATATGATACAATTATATATAGAACAACACATCTGATTATTTGCCCGCAATTGGAGCACTGTAAAAATTTTCCGTTCAAATTACGGTATAAAGTACCGACACTTTAAATGCATCATCCGTAAAATTCTTTTTTACAGTAAAATTCATTTTTCCTTAAAATATTACACAGTAAATTTTACAGTAATATTTATATAATTAGAATGATTCACGGATTTTACAGTAATTATTACTGTAAAAATTACGGTATATCAAATTTTTTATTCTGTATCATGTTCCGGTAAAGATAGAATTTACTGTAAAAAGTACCGACACCCTGGATGCCGGTACTTTCTATCATAATTTGATCCAGAATTTTTTTTCAGCCTGCACAGGATGTAGGTATAATTACAATATGCATAGTTAAATTGGCCATACTTTTTTGATTTTTTGGTAGAATAACTTCCCGTTTAAATTACAAAACTTAATCATCCATGATCAGATAATTTAATGCTTTTTGACAATTTTCAAAAATTTTTCAAGTCGAAAAATGACTGCTTAAATTTTGAAATATTAACGTGATTTCATTAAACATTGTCTCCTTGAGATTCAGCAAAATTATTCCCTGGTGTGATTTTCAGAAAATGTGGCGGAGTTATACATCAAACGTATTATTGCCGATTTTTCTTTTATTACACAGTCTGAAAAATTTGCGAATGAAGTATACATTCTTTAATTTCCGAAGTATGCATTATTATGTATTCATAAGTTTAAACAAACAAATACCATTTCGTACTTGTCTACTGAGTTATCTTGGCGAACTTGAATGCCTCAAAACTATGTTTTACAAATTCCTTGAATCATTTATCTAATGAACAAATGAACCAATACGCATAAAATTTCATCAGTTTCTTGTAAACACTTGTCATTCTTCTATTATGTTTTTTAAGAATTCTGTTTTGCAGATGCTCAAACAAAGTATTTGGGTAAATATGGCAACGTATCTTCAAATGAGCTCGTCCTTATAAATGTGTAAATAGAGAAACGAGATATTCTTTAGTATCTGTTCAAAAAAAGTTGTTAATTTTTTTTCAAGGGAATTGACTGAATTTGATTGATAACACCGACAAAATAAACTACGCATATTTTTTATGCACCGAGTAAATTGTTTAATGATAGCTACAAAATTTTATTGCATGTCAGTTAAAATTTAACAATTTGAACTTTATGTAATAACTTTTATACAGTAGCATAGATTAAGCATTTTTAAATAACAGAAAAAAAATGCATTTTTATTAAGTTCTTTCAGAAACTAATTCAACAACAAATATAAAGCATTAATGCTGTTAAAATAATAATGAAAAAAAAATTTTAAAAAACTTGACTTGCACTTAAAAAAAGTCAAAATATGGGATATATTTTACTGGCTCAATTACAATTATTTAAGTAAAGAAGTACTCCAAACAAATGGGTCCCGCAGTGGACTAATCGTTAAGACACGGTTCCCAGCAGATCACCGAAGTCAAGCATCACTGGCTACGGTCAGTGTGCGGGTGGGTGACCACTTGGATCAGTCTGCGTAGGGACCGAGGGTGTGCGGTATTGGTCCTCGTTAATGTGCTACCGTAAAGTGCTCGACTTCGCGCGCGCAGGTCGTCGGGCTACCGAAGCGGGGGTGCCATCCCCTCCGCAGAGGATCAAAATTGTGATGGCATGTCTTCGGATCATCCGCAGGGGTGTTTCCCAGACCGTCGCCAATAGCCCATTGTGCAGCTCTAGTGCGACGTAAATGAACTACAACTACAACAACAACCAAACAAATGAAAAATAATAATACATAAATTTTAATATTAAAACAAGAACCAGATTTATTTCATAATAATAACACAAAACAAGGAAACAATAAAAATTCTGAATAAATTTAATGGTACAAAAGATAAACGAATTTGTGATTTAAAACTTTTGACTCTTACACATATACAAGTAAAGAGTTACTTAATTTATGAAAATGTCATACAATATTTTATTTGCCCCAAAACGTTTTGCAGTTGTCATTAAAACGAAGTTATAATAATTACTAATAAGTTATTAGTAATTATTATAACTTAGTTTTATCTGTTAAAAAAAAAAAAACAACCTAGTTATTAGTAATAACTAGGTTGTTTGTTTGTTTTTTTTAACAGATAAAACTTTTATAATAGAGTTTAAACTGGTAATTACTTTTCTTTTTTTTTTTCTTTTAAAAGATGCGTGGACGTAAGCGGAAACGGAAACCTAAATGGACAACTTAGACGCACAAGAAGCACCAAAGGTAAGTTTTCATTAATACCATTAACATATTAATATCTTTAATGTATATTAATATGTTAATTTGATTATGATTCATTATATTATTATGTTCATTTGGTTATGATTTATTTTATTATTATTATTATTATTTACTATATTATTATGTTAATTTGGTTATGATTTGTTTTATTATCACTACTTATAATATTACTATGTTAATTTGATTAAGATTTATTCTTTTATTTTTGTGATTTATTATATCATTATTATAATATGATTATGATTTATTTGATTATTATTATCATTTATATTATAATGTTAATTTGATTAGGATTTTTTTCATTATCACTATGATTTATCATATCCTTACGTTAATTTATTATTATTCATTTTATTATTTTTATGATTTATTATAGTATTATGTTACTTTGGTTATGATTTAAATATTATTATTATTACTTATTTTATTATTATTATTATTATATTATGATTTATTATATTATGATGTTAATTTTATTGTGATTTATTTTATTATCATTATGATTATCATAGTATTATGCTAACTTGATTATAATTAATTTATGAGTAATTTATTATTATTATGATTAACTTATTATTATTGTATTTTATTCCATTTTATACTAATTTAGTCACGATTTATTTTTTATTATCATTATTGTTATTATTTATTATATTATTAGTTTTATTTGTTTATGATTTAGCTACAGAATTTATTTTTTTAAGAAAAAAAAGGTAAAGGTAGTTTTCCATTGAAAATGTGTGTCGTAAACAGCATCATAACGCTTCTGTACATTCTAATTTACTTAAAACTCCTAAAAGAATGCAACTCGGGAATATTTAAATGCTTTTTTTCTAAGGGATTTTTTATTTCGAAATCAAATTTTATGAAGCTTTTACTTATCATAGACTTCTTACGAAACTATGGAACAACATTTCTATCATAGTAGCATTAAACAACAGAAATATGCGCAATTTATTCTTATACACTGTAAAATATTTCAGATCAAATACTAGTAATGCCTCAAAATCCATTTTCACCGTAAAATTTTGAGGAACAAAAAATCTGATATACCGTAATTTTTACAGTAATAATTACTGAATCAATGTCATTAAAGAAATATTACTGTGAAAAGTATGGTATAAAATTTTACCGTAAAATGGATTTTACACGTGATTCACCCAGAGTGCCAGTATTTTTAACCGTAAATTAATCTGTGATTCGTAATTTTCTACAGTGTAGCTGTATATAAATAAAAACTTTAAATTGCTGAATAAGTTGTGGTTTAGAACCAATATAGATATCTAAAGTAATTATAATATATTATGCGTTATTATAATACATCTTAAGTAATTAAAATATATTATACGTTATTATAATGCATCTTAAGTAATCATAATATATTGCAAGTAATAAGGAATTTTAACTATTTTTCATTAGTTTGTAAACTTAGTATCGTGTAAGTAATTTGGTTTCAAAACAAAACTAAAACCTTAAGCTCGATACTAAAAAGAATTATTTAATTTACATTTTTCAAGCCCAAATCGAACCAATGCTGGATTGCGTTATTAAATCTAGATGGTAACTAGTTTAGTGAGATAGGTTGCTTGCATTTCAGTCAGCATTTTAAATAGATGAGTCGTCAAAGATAAAAAAAAAAGGAGAAGAGTCAAATTTAAGCTAAACTTTAATATAATTTAAGCAACAAAATCAGAGGCATCCAGGATAAGAATCAAAGAGGTCGAATGTGAGAAAAAGTGTAAAAGCAAAGAGCAAAAGAGAAAGTCTTGCGAGAGAAGAGACTTTGCAAATATATACATTTCATCGATTTGAATTCAGTTTAGTTCGTTATACTTCAGACCTGGCATAGAAGTTTACAGGTTAGCCAGGTACACTGCAACCTTACCCTTTTATTTTTGGTGCAAAACATAACCTCTTTTTTTACTTTTTACATCTGTCTACGTCAACCTCAAAACAATCTGAAAATACCTAATTGTTTTTAAAAGTGGTACTTGCGCCTAACATGTTGATTACGCCACACTAGTAACAGTTCTATTAACTTTTAGTTATTGTAATTGACCGAAATCTAATAATAAATTGTCTATTCCTTTTGCATTTCATTCCTGCATTGCATGGTTGCAGAATGTTCTTTTTTAATATATATTATTCCTGTTTTTTCAGATGATTGCAGCTATAGCTTTAACGTGTCTGGAAGTGGGGGTACCTTGACTAGTCCTGATTATCCTGATAAATACCCCAGCAACACTGATTGCAGATGGTTACTCAATGCTGCAGAACCAAATATCTCCCTCCTACTCCGAATAGACACCTTGCAAATTGAACCTGATACCAACTGCAAGTAAGTTTGAAAAATATCCAAATGGTTAAATGTAACTCATGTAGTAATTTAAAATAATTATAATTTTACACAAAAAATGTCTCATAACTCGCAAGAGAGCATTTAATTATATTTCAGAACCAGAGTCATTCTTATTTATTGAAATCACAATACTGGCTAAAACCAAGTCAACAAGATACATCAATAGTAGTCTAATGAATAAATCATTTCATGGGCGGATCGTGAATTTGTGGGGCCCTGGGCTGAAACTACTTTGGGGCCCTAATAGCCATTTTGTCAAAAAACTGTTTTCTATAGTGATGTAGATAAGTATATGGAAAAAAATAGGACAATGAAATAATTTTATTTATTTATTTTTATTTGTCTATACAAACAGCAACTGTACAACATTATTGCAAAAGAAATTGACAGGTTATGTGTAGTTATGTTACATAAATTATAAAGCAACCTTTCTGCATTTTTGTGCTGCAAACTCCTTCATTTGCTCATCACATTGTAAGTCCTTCGTTAAATCACAATTTATGGAAAGAACTGATAAGTGATTTAGTCGATGGTTCGACATTGTTGTCCTATATTTGTTTTCTATATA